GATTTTGTTGTCTAATATTTAGCTTTGCTCCTAAGACTTTCATTGGAGTGTATTCATTTTTGCTACATGACCTTGAATGAATTTGTTAGGAAAAAATCTTCTTTGTGTGTGCAAATTAACAAATCTTGTTTGCAATCAATGGCCTGCTTTTGTGGGAGTATTTTGTAGTGGTGTCCAATAGAAAATGTTGATTCTGAATGGAAAGAAGGTTTTCTGACAAATCTGTTGGGTGTACTCATTTATGCTGAGCACTGTATGTAAATGAACCTCAATTTGTCTATGCTGCACCATAACTTGTAAACTACTGGGGTCCCTTGACTGCATTGTAAATTTTATTGTAAAGGTGAGCAAACCCTTGCTCTGGGATACACTTAATAGTTGATGGGCTTGGAAGCTTTGCCTGCCCTTTACCATTTTTAAGCCTCATTATTTACCCATCACTGAAATGGCAGTTTCACTATCCAATAGAGAGACATAGAAGATAGTAAAAGGCGAGGCCATTCTAAACTGATCTAGAAATAAGTAAATTGAAGAGCAGTCGGATAGTCCCAGCAACAGGATGCTAAAAATGAGAAGAGACTTGATGTCTAGACACCTGTCTAGGCTTGCTGTGTACTGAAGGGTATTGGATTAGGTAAGTATGTGTCATAGGTTTGGTATATACTGTATATAAATATTTTTGTATGTCTTTTTGCATTATGTAAACCCTTTGCATTTCTAATCTTAGGGCCAACAATGGATTAGGAGGATCTTGTTTTTAACTGCTTTTATGGGTTTATGTTTATGCATTTCAAATTTTGTGATCAGTGGAACAGGATTTACTTTTGGATTCATAGTTATTTAGTTCACTTCATCAGACTTTTCCAGGTACCAATTATTTAATTGCACAACAGCATCACTCAAACTGCCCTCTCTGATCCTCCCAAGACCTCCTGCTCTCTAACTCCCTAATCAGCCCGGCAGGTCAGGAAAGGGGGGGGATGAGCGAGTGCCCCTCCTCCTGTACCATACCAGGCCACATGCCCTCAACATGAGGGGGGTACTTTGAGGTGGAGGGCCCCCCCAAAGCACCTTGTCTCCATGTTGATGGGGGCAAGGGCCTCTTCCCCACAACCATGGCCGGTGGTTGTCAGGGTTTGCAGGCATGGAGTTTATCAGATTCAGAAAGCCCCCTTTAACAAGGGGTCCCCCAGATCCTGCCCCACCATGTGAATAAGTATGGGGTACATGGTACCGCTACTCATTCACAAAAAAAAAGTGTAGTGTAAAAAATTACAGAAGACAGTTATTGACAAGTCCTTTATTAAAAACAAAATTAAAAAATGTTGCCCAAAGTAGATCCAATGTCAACCATGATGCCTGCCACCACCACCGTCCCAAAAAAAAGAAAAAAAAACCACTCAGCACTCGACTCTGGCTCTCGAAGTCTGACAGCTGCACCGACCTGACAGTTCTTAAACATATAAGGGGCGGGGCCACCCGTTTGGCGTCAAATGGGTGACCCTGCCCCTTGTGATGTCATCATGCACTGTGATTGGCCAAAGCATTGCACCTGACTTGTGGTCAGGTGCATTGCTTTGGCCAATCACAATGCACTGTCAGGGTGCAGTGCATTGTGGGGCGCTGAAGGCGAACAGAGCACCAAACGCCCTTACCATTCATGTGTTCGCTGAACACACAAATGGCCCATGTTCAACTCGAACTTTAAGCTCAACTCTACCATCTTCTAACAGCTGAATTTTTAATTATTCCAGCAGCTTATCCCTCATAGCTATTACCTTTTGTGCCACTTACCCTACCCTATTTAATTGTAAATCCTTCTAACTCCCTTGTATTGTATTGTACTGTGACTGTATTGTCTCCCTTTATATTGCAAAGTGCTGTCAAACTGCTGGCACTATATAAATACTGTATAATAATAATAATATTAATAATAATAATTTGGATTGTACAGTGAACCCTTGTATGGTACCATTTATAATACCTGCAGTTATTGGAGGTCAGCAGGAGCCATTCTTCGACACAAGTAGTATATTTAAAGAATTGGTCAGGTAGCAAGGTCCTTATATCTGGTGTCAGGTAGAAAAGTAATAATTCAAAATTGTAATTTTTAATCTGTTTTAGTAAATTTCAAACATTTTGACATACCTATTATTATTATTATCCAAAAATGTCAAACCTAATGAGAGTCTGGGATGAGATAACCTTTTTTTTTTCCGCTACCATGAAACTATACAGGGCAAACAACCTTTTTGTGATGGACAAATGAAGTTGAGCGGCAAAGATAAATATCATTGTTCGAAAAGCTCTAACTGGCAATCATATCCTGAAAGCCAGATTGGGGAAAATTCACAAACAACAAACTGAAATTAGAGAACAAAGAGTGACAACCATGTGTTGGGCATATAGCAAACTGATCTGAGAGAAAGAAAAAAAAAATGATGGTTGTGATTCATTGCAATGAAGAAAAAACATAAAACTGAACAATGATTGTATCCCGTGTCATCGGGATTATGTAGCCTATGTTTCTTTTATGAGCTGCCAACTGAACATGATTACAAGAAAAGTAAGATAGATATTATGACTGCAACAATTTGTATGTGACTTTCAAATTTGCATTGGTTTGTTTCATGAGTGGCTGGTTGTAGAAGAAAAAATAGAGCCCTCCACTAGGGCAAGGGTTTATTGGTTTTCTGTGTGCCTTGTTTGCACTTCCACACTACGGGGCAGAGTGGTACATAGAAGTGCGAATGGCCTGCATGAAAGATGGGTTGAATTTAATGTAAACTGATTTGTCTTGCTAGCTTGATTGGTGATGATTAGTTAAACATTTCACTTTTGCCAGTGGCATACCTAGTGTATTGGACTCCCGAAGTGAATTATTTTTAAACACTCCCTCTCTTGCTTCTTGCTTCTCAATACATTAACATAATTTTCAGTAATAATCAAGCAACGCCCCAGCAAAAATACCCCTTGTCACGGACTGCCAGTGCCTCTCCCATCCCCCGCCATATTCCTCCACCCCTCCCTTCCCCCTTATACATTAGAAGGTCTGTGGGGCTTCCATGGACAGGGCTGGGCCAGCCGTTGCCGAGGCAACCTAGCCGCGTCCCACATGATCTTCAAGAGACCCACACAGGAAGCAGCCTTCCCTTTTGTTCCTGGCCATGTGAGTAGAATCATCCTGCTCCCAGAAAGATGCTGGGAGGCTCGGGTGAGGGGGACCGAGTCTCCCCAGCCATCCCCCCTGCGCGCTCTGCAGACCCCCAAAAGGTCAGGACTGTAGCCCTCTGCAATACCTCGGGGTTGGGAGTCTCCACAGCTCTGCATGAGCCTTCTCCTCAAAGGTCAGACCCCACAACTGAGACCCTGCCAGTCTGTAAGCCTGTCTACTGAGCACCCTTGCACCCTGTCTGCCGCTGAGTGCCCTGGGAGTTGTTGCTGAGGGGGCCTGCATACTATCCGTGGCTGCGTGTCCCTGGAGGCTGTCTTCTGCTGAGTGCCCTGGGAGCTGCTACTGTCTGCTGATCGCTGGTTGTCCCTGGAACGCTGACCGCTGGTCATCCCTGTCTGGAGCCGCCTGCCGCTGAGGGTCTGCAAGCTGCTTACCGTGAGTGCCCTGAACTGTTCCTGCTGTGCGCACTGACCACCTGTGTCCTGAACTGTTCCTGTTGTGCGCACTGACCACCTGTGTCCTGAACTGTTCCTGTTGTGCGCACTGACTACCCGTGTCCTGAATTGTTCCTGTTGCGTGCACTGACCACCCGTGTCCTGAACTGTTCCTGCTGTGTGCACTGACCACCCGTGTCCTGAACTGTTCCTGCTGTGTGCACTGACCACCCGTGTCCTGAACTGTCCCCGCTGTGTGCACCGACCACCCGTGTTCCGAACCTCCCCGCTGTGTGTGCACTGACCACCCGTGTCCTGATGGCATGCCCAGAGTATAGCTACCTGTGGTGCCCCTGAGTGCTTGAGCCATCGATATCTGTTGAGTCCCCGTGAACCCAATGACCCTAGAAAGCTGGGTGGGAGCTGTGCTGTGGCCAGCCTCCACAGCTAGAGTCCCGTTGAGTCCCCGAGGCCCCTGCCCAGTGGTAGGTTGCTGTCTGTTGCCCGAGGCCCCTGCCCAGTGGTAGGTTGCTGTCTGTTGCCCAAGCCCCTGTTGAGGGGTAGATTGCCGTCTGTTGCCCGAGCCCCTGCCCAGTGGTAGGTTGCTGTCTGTTGCCCGAGGCCCCTGCCCAGTGGTAGGTTGCTGTCTGTTGCCCGAGCCCCTGTTGAGGGGTAGATTGCCGTCTGTTGCCCGAGCCCCTGTCCAGTGGTAGGTTGCTGTCTGTTGCCCGAGGCCCCTGCCCAGTGGTAGGTTGCTGTCTGTTGCCCGAGGCCCCTGCCCAGTGGTAGGTTGCTGTCTGTTGCCCGAGCCCCTGTTGAGGGGTAGATTGCCGTCTGTTGCCCGAGCCCCTGTCCAGTGGTAGGTTGCTGGCTGTTGCCCGAGGCCCCTGCCCAGTGGTAGGTTGCCGTCTGTTGCCCGAGGCCCCTGCCCAGTGGTAGGTTGCTGTCTGTTGCCCGAGCCCCTGTTGAGGGGTAGATTGCCGTCTGTTGCCCGAGCCCCTGTCCAGTGGTAGGTTGCTGTCTGTTGCCCGAGGCCCCTGCCCAGTGGTAGGTTGCTGTCTGTTGCCCGAGGCCCCTGCCCAGTGGTAGGTTGCTGTCTGTTGCCCGAGCCCCCTGCCCAGTGGTAGGTTGCTGTCTGTTGCCCGAGGCCCCTGCCCAGTGGTAGGTTGCCGTCTGTTGCCCGAGGCCCCTGCCCAGTGGTAGGTTGCTGTCTGTTGCCCGAGGCCCCTGCCCAGTGGTAGGTTGCTGTCTGTTGCCCGAGCCCCTGCCCAGGGGTAGATTGCCGCCTGTTGTCTGAGGCCCCTGCCCCGTGGTAGGTTGCTGTCTGTTGCCCGAGGCCCCTGCCCAGTGGTAGGTTGCCGTCTGTTGCCCGAGCCCCTGTTGAGGGGTAGATTGCCTTCTGTTGCCCGAGGCCCCTGCCCAGTAGTAGGTTGCCTTCTGTTGCCCGAGGCCCCTGCCCAGTGGTAGGTTGCCGTCTGTTGCCCGAGCCCCTGTTGAGGGGTAGATTGCCTTCTGTTGCCCGAGGCCCCTGCCCAGTGGTAGGTTGCCGTCTGTTGCCCGAGCCCCTGCCCAGTGGTAGGTTGCCGTCTGTTGCCCGAGCCCCTGCCCAGGGGGGGTAGATTGTCACCTGTTGCCCGAGTCTCCAATCCGCTGTCCAGTCACGGAGGGAGCCCGGCTGAGGCCCCAAGCCTAAAGGGGGGAGATTGCCTGAAGACCCCCCCTGTGCCTGGAATTGTCCCTGGTTTGCGCACACATCACCCTCCCTGCCATTTCCCTATTGAGTGTCTGTCAATTTGTTGTTTCAATAAAGTTTTGTGTGTTCCCCATCTTCTCCGTGTGCTCTGTCCTGCCTACGCTTCCGTTACACCCCTACCATTCAAAATCACACCAGACCTCAGATTCAGACCAATGACAGGTGCAAACAGAGGGGGAAGTCCTCCCAGCTGTGTCATGTCATACTTCAGAGTTGAGGATGAGCTTCTCTTGTCTCTACACTGCTCTGCATCTGAACGAGACTGGTACATCATGGTGACTTTGCAGAGAAACCTTGTAAAGCACTAAAGTGTAGGGCAGATAGAGGAGGGGGGATGCAGTCCTGGAGCACCCCCCACCCCAGCTGGCTGTGTCCCAGGGCTGACTGCATCCCCCTGGCCCCCTAGATACGCCACTGACTTGTACTACTGTAACAACATGTAATCTGAATATCTAGTGACCTCCTCACCCAAGATTCTTCACCCCAAGAATACACAAAGGGAAATGAGTGGAGTTTTACCATACAGATTCTATGCTTATGTGGTAAGTTCAAGAACAAAAACTATGTTATGTCAAGAAAACATGAGAAATTACATAGACATCCTGTATATTTTCCCTCATGATGCCAGCAGGTAGCAAAGGCATTGTTGGTACTACAGGGATTCATATTTGTTTCAGTGGTGTATTTAGGTTTTGTGCTGCCCTAGGCAACACAAAAATGAGCCCCCCCCTCTCGAGAAAGCCTTCCACTACCACTGCCCCCCATACACCAACCACCATCGCCCATGGTGAGAGAAAGACCCTCATCTTCACAGCTCTGAACATCCCTCATAGCGAGAGTCGGGCTGTGCATACACCATTATGAAACCCGCAGCCTCTCTTGGAACCCACCAGGTCGCATGCCGCATGTGTCCTTTCTTCCGTCCCTTCTTCCAAGGGGTAGTGCTGCCTCCCTGAAAAATGCCGCCCTAGGCAAATGCCTTGTTTTCCTTGTGGTAAATACACCTCTGATTTGTTTTACTGTTGTGTTGTACATATCTGAATAGTGGGAGCTCAGGTTACAAGCACAGCAAAATAAGTCAGCTCATTGACACCCCCCTCTTTTTCTCCAAGCAAGTACAGTGCCCCTAGAGTCTGTGGCAGCAACCAGCAAGTGTACAGCTAGTCCTGGGATTTGGTATTAGAGATCCCAGCATGCATGGTAGACACTAAAGCATGGAAGCACTATGTATTAAAGCAGTAGAAAACTGCAACTGCAAACTGCAAGAAAAAAAAAATTCCCTGCAAGGTAATGTCATAATGTGCTAGTATGCATTGCATACTAGTACATTATGAAGAACTTACCCTAAAACAAAACCCTCCAGTGGCACGCTATCACTGCTGCAGAGTCTTCCATCTTGACCCGGTCTTCCTTCCAGGTTTGCAAGCTCTGGCCGTCTGACTGGCTGAGCCACGGTGACGTCACTCCAGGGCATGTGCACGGGAGTCCCAGGCCACAGCACACAGCTCTGAAGGAACGTCATGGGTATGCCATTCCTTTAGAGTGCATGTGGAGTCTATCAAAAAGAGAAAATATCTCCTAAATGGTGCACATTTAGGAGATATTCATTTTACGTACAGATAAGGTTTAGTATGAGCTTACCTGTAGGTAAAATATACAAAAGTGGGTTTACTTCCACTTTAAACATTTTAGTAAAGGTAATGAAAACATTGATATGTCAGCTTATAAACTTTTACAAAAAAGTAAAATTTACCAAAAACCAATGTAGCTTCCCTAAACCCTCAAATACTCCCATTCCCTCCATTGATGCAAAGTCCGCAAGTTCCCTTGCTGGTGCCAACATCTTCTCCCTGGCTTCTTCAATGTCCAGGGTCTCAAACAATCTTGATTGGCTTGGATGACATAACTACCACGCATGTGCCTGGGAGTTCATTCACCCTGGCACTAAAGTGTGCCAGGAATGTACACTGAGTTGTGCATGTGCACATTCTAAAGAATCTAGTGAGAAGAATAGTAAGAAGCCTATTGCAAAAGAAACATCGAGTAATAGGGGAATTCAAAATGGCCCCAGCAACAGTTTTCTGGTGGTAGTTCCCATAAGAACTACCTGGGCCTAAATCAGGCAAGCATTTGTGCCAGTGTTGGTAACGTAACTGACGTGTGACAAATTCAAATACTTCTTACTACCATCCCTTTCAGAATATATCGCTGTAGCAGTAAGAAATTCTTAAAGAATTTCTGCCAGTACTCCATTTAGGATATTGGCAGCCACCTACTTGCCGACCCACCACAGTATATATACTGTGGCAGGGAGGCAGCTACAGGCACCACGACATACTGGTACATTGCTGCCTGTTTCCATGTATTGGACGTGCGTGTGTGCCTCTGCTGGCTTACTCCCCTGTGATTTGACACAGCAGGAGTTCATCAACAGATCTCTGATTCATGGCTGGGACCTGCTGCTCGGTTGCGTCTAATCACAGCCTAGAGCCCTGTGTTCACAAACAACACAGGGGTCTATATACGGGGAACAACTTTGTTTCTTTTTCCTGCGGGGAAAAAGAAACATAAATCTGTAGTAAAAACCAGCACACAGCACACACTTGTTAGGCACACAAAAACCCTTGATTGCCCCTAGATGTTAACCCCTTCTCATCCAGTGTCATTAGCACAGTTATATTAAAGCTTACCTGTAGGTACACGTATAGGTAAACGTACACCGCTTAGGATATATTCACTGTTTCTGCAGCTAATGACTAAGTTACTAAGCACAGGATTTTGAGTGAAATGTGTTAACTTCCCTCTGTCCTTGTATTGGAGTTGTGATCTATGCTGTTTTTATTATGCAGATTCAATAAATGGGAGTTTTATCTGGTACATCGATGGAGTGCGGTCATCTTTCTTTGTCTTTATCTGCAGCTGATGACGTCACCGGGGCATGTGCTCTGAATAGATGGTATACTTATGTCAGTACTTCAGAGCTCTGTGCTTTGGCCGTGACTTCTGTGCACATACCTGATGGTGACATCATCGTGGCTTGGCCATTCAAACAGCCAGAGACCGTGAACCTGGAACGAAGACCAGGTGAAGATGGAAGCCCTGTCAGTGGTGACAGTGCGCTGCTGGAGGGTTCGCTTTAAAGTAAGCCTTTCCCAATGTGCTAATATGAGGTTTTTTGACATTACCTTGCAGGGAGATTTTTTTTTTTTTTCTACAGAACAGTTTACTATTACTTTAATTTTCTAAAAATTCTTTCCCTGTTTGATTTTAAAATTTGAGGGCATTGGTTGAAATTTGAGTGGTTCGCCATTATTTGTATTGTTTTGCTTGCATTTAAATTTTTTGTCCTATTCAGCCACATTACATTTGCTGTCCAAAGGTGCCTCCCGTGCTCCTTTGTCCTGAATGGGGGCTCTCTAATATAGGAGGTGTGTTACTGGTCAGATCACAAGGTGAAAACAGAGAGAAGAAAGCCAAAAAAAAATAAATCAAATGCAGCCACCACATCTAATGGTTGGTAAGCTGCAATATAATACATTTTTAGTTTTGGATTTTACTACCGCTTTAATGTTGCTCTATAATCCACATAAAAATATTCTTTCCTCACTGAATGATATTTTAAAAAAATGTATTTGCATTGATACGTTAACTTCCCTCTGTCCTTGTATTGGAGTTGTGATCTATGCTGTTTTTATTATGCGGATTCAATAAATGGGAGTTTTATCTGGTACATCGATGGAGTGCGGTCATCTTTCTTTGTCTTTATCTGCAGCTGATGACGTCACCGGGGCATGTGCTCTGAATAGATGGTATACTTATGTCAGTACTTCAGAGCTCTGTGCTTCGGCCGTGACTTCTGTGCACATACCTGATGGTGACATCATCGTGGCTTGGCCATTCAAACAGCCAGAGACCGTGAACCTGGAACGAAGACCAGGTGAAGATGGAAGCCCTGTCAGTGGTGACAGTGCGCTGCTGGAGGGTTCGCTTTAAAGTAAGCCTTTTCCAATGTGCTAATATGAGGTTTTCTGACATTACCTTGCAGGGAGAATTTTTTTTTTTTTTTTTACAGAACAGTTTACTACTACTTTAATTTTCTAAAAATTCTTTCCCTGTTTGATTTTACAATTTGAGGGCATTGGTTGAAATTTGAGTGGTTCGCCATTATTTGTATTGTTTTGCTTGCATTTTAATTTTGTGTCCTATTCAGCCACATTACATTTGCTTTTGTTGTTTTGCTATTGATGAAAATGCATTGTAAACACACAGCAAGCACTGTACATGCATTTCTAATGCAATTGGCATAAGTTTCATGAGTTTCTCCCACAATGACCTTGAAGAATCAACCTTGGGGCCCCCTTTGCAGGATTCTGGAGGTTCCTCATACGCGCTCTGATGTGGTAAGATTCAACTAAGTAGTGTGCACATGATGGAGATGACCATTACTACTGTACAATACATATACGTAGGTTGCACCAACAGTTTTTACAAACTGACAGCTGAATGAAGATGAGATTTTTAGAAACAAACTGTAATGTGATCCTGATGTCTATGGTTTATGTACTTTAAGTTATTACATGAATAAGGTATTTTCTCAATAGCTTCTTTAATGTAAAGTTTTCAGTTCTTTAAGTTGATTCGTTTTTTCTTTTTTTTGTAAAAAATATAAGAAAGCTTAATTGTAATTTTTTCAGATCAATAATATTTTGATCCGTTGTTGTGGGGCCCTTCAAACGGAATTGGACCCATAGGCCAGTACTTACTCTGCCTATTTGGTAATCTTGCACTGCACATTCCACATGCATCTTAAACACAATCCATTTTTTCAATAATGTTCCTGAAGAATGCTTTCTTGTAGATGTGTGTTGCTTGCTTCTGACTGCTTCTGATGTCCATGTGCACAAGCCCTGAGATTTGTGTGTACAGGAGGTGTTCTCAGTAAGGAGGGAATATTTAAGGGCCCTATTTTGTGTA